TTGTCTGATAGCAGAGGACTTGATGACCATTTATCTTAGCTATTGAAGGGGAGGGGAAAAAAATCCTTTCCATCCACCCCTTTAGGTTCTTAGCTAGAGCTCTGTACCAAAAGACAGATTAATAAGACAAAAGCCTACAAATCTACTTAAAGTAAGTTTTCTGTGACATGGAAGCCTTCATAAGGAAAATAAGACCTGGGCACTTTTTAAAAAGATTTATTTATTTATTTTAGAGAAAGAGCAAGAGAGTGGGGGAGGGGCAGAGTAGACTCCCCACTGAGCGTGGAGCCCAACGAGGGCTTGATGTGGGGCCTCGATCTCACGACCCTGAGATCATGACCTGAGCCCAAATCAAGAGTTGGCTGCTTAACTAACTGAGCCACCCTGTTCCTTCAGATTCCTCTCCATTTTGGGGGTTAAGGATCCTGGTAAGGGGAGGGAGTCTCTCATATGAAAGTCTAATGGTCTGCTTTATGGGAAGATCAGAAAATCTTTCCAGCCCTTGCCTTTTTTCAGCTTCCCTCAGCTTAAAATATTTAGTATGCCAAAATGCCATATTTTGGCATCGCACATCCTGAACTCCATCACTATTTTTTTTTAAATTTTTTAAAGATTTTATTTATTTATTTGAGAGAGAGAGAAACAGCATGAGAGGGGAGAAGGTCAGAGGGAGAAGCAGGGCTCCCCACTGAGCCGGGAGCCTGATGTGGGACTCGATCCCAGGACCCTGGGATCATGACCTGAGCCGAAGGCAGTCGCTTAACCAACTGAGCCACCCAGGCGCCCTGAACTCCATCACTATTGATGGTGTGTATAATCCCTGAGAGTCCAAGTCCACCTGTAAACTTGGAGCTGGAGACTGGGGGAATATCAAAGAGAAAGGTTCTTCTTTCATTTGCAAAATTACCAAATTTATTTATCTTCTTTTTTTTAAAAAATATTTTATTTATTTGGCAGAGAGAGAGAGAGACAGCGAGACAGGGAACACAAGCAGGGGGAGTGGGAGAGGGAGAAGCAGGCTTCCCGCCAAGCAGAGAGCCCGATGTGGGGCTCGATCCCAGGACCCTGGGATCATGACCTGAGCCGAAGGCAGATGCTTAATGTCTGAGCCACCCAGCCACCTCTATTCATCTTCTTAGAATTGAATGTATTACTGAGGGAATAAAAAAAAAAAAGAAGGGATTTTAAAGAGGAGGGAGGAGGAAAAAGGAATTTAAAAAGGAGGAGGTGTGGTCATATGAGGGGTGTTTTAGAATTTTTTTTAACAGGTCAAAATGGAAATGAAGCATAAAAGCCTGAATAACCTTTTTATTCACGGAAACAACTGTCACATCCTGCTTAAATCCACCAATGACTGGATTAAAGATGTTGTCTGTTACAGCCTGAAAAAAAGTCATTCGTCCTTTTGTTTATTTAGTAGATATTTATGAAGATTTCACTATGTATTAGGAACTATATTAAATGCTGGGGCATGTGTAGGTGAATGAAACAGATACAGTCCTTGCCTTCAAGAAGCTTACAATCCAGTGCAAGAGATAGACGATATATGAGCAAAGAAGCAAATATGTTATTCCTATAACTCGTATAAACTCTACAGGGGTCTGTGGTGGAGAATTAGGAAACTTTAGGGAGCATGGTTGTGGAAAGACTTTTCGAAGAAATGACATTTAAGCTCAGACCAGAAGCATGGGTGATAAACTGCTGGCATTTGGGTGGAGAGGGCATCCTAGGGAGAGGGAGTGGTATAAACTAAAGCCAGGGGGTTGAAAAACACTTGGTGAATACATGAAGGTCAAAATTGATGGAGATCTTGCCTTTGGCATTAACCAAGGAACAGGGCTCCATGAACACTAAAGAGTTGGCAAGAAGAAATGTTTTCCTACTCCTGGGAAATTCAGCTAACTCATTAGCAAATTCAAGTGACTTTAGCAAAGAAAATGGATTTCTGGAGAGAGTGTAAATTGCTACAATCATCTTGCAAAATAACTTGACTTTATCCCATAAAGACTAATACTTTCAATACCTTAAGACCCAGCAATTCTACCCTAGAGCAGCAGTCTTCAGAATTTTTTGCTTCTGTGCCCACTAAGGTAATCTTGTAAAACTCTCTACCCCTCTGAACATTTTTGGATTGATATCTAAAATGTTTTTCCTATGTGTAAACAGTTCAAACAATAAATGCTATCATATTTTAAGTATTGGTATATTAAGACTGTTATTTCATATTTTATTTTATTTTTTTAAAAGATTTTATTTACTTATTTGACACAGAGACAGACAGCGAGAGAGGGAACACAAGCAGGGGGAGTGGGAGAGGGAGAACAGGCTTCCCGCGGAGCAGGGAGCCCGATGCGGGGCTCGATCCCAGGACCCTGGGATCATGACCTGAGCTGAAGGTAGACGCTTAATGACTGAGCCACCCAGGTGCCCCATGTTATTTCATATTTTAAAATATACCTAATGGGTCAAATCTCCGTGTTGTACACCTGAAACTAATATAACCTTGTATGTCAACCATACTCCAAAAAAAAAAAAAAACCCAACCCAAAATAAAATGCATCCAAAGGAATCTAACTACCATAGTGATTTGGTAAATAAATAAATAAGTGCTTGGATGAACTCTTTTTTTTAAGATTTTATTTATTTATTTGAGAGAGAGAGAGAGCACAAGCAAGGGTGGGGGGAGGGGCAGAGGGGGACAGAGAAGCAGGCCTCCTGCCAAGCAGGGAGCCTGATGTGGGGCTTGATCCCAGGACCCCAGGATCATGACCCGAGCTGAAGGCAGATGCCTCACCAGCTGAACCACCCAGGTGCCTGGATGAGCTCTTTGTAATAGACAGGAATTTTACATTATTCTTTTATCTCTTTGAATCTGTGTTTCCATTCTACTTTCCCCATAGAATTTTATCTTAACAAAATATATTTTATGTTTGAAAATGCTTTCTTGTCCTAAGTGTTCTTTTGTCCATGTGATAAATCCATGTGATAAAAATATACATAAAATAAGTTTTAATTTATTAAAATTTATTTTCTTTCTTTTGACCGTAGGACTCTTAAGTGTTAGAAAATATTGTCTTGAGGGCGCCTGAGTGGCTCAGTCATTAAGCGTCTGCCTTTGGCTCGGGTCATGATCCCAGGGTCCTGGGATCGAGCCCCGCATCGGGCTCCCTGTTCCGCGGGAAGCCTGCTTCTCCCTCTCCCACTCCCCCTGCTTGTGTTCCCTCTCTTGCTATGTCTCTCTCTGTCAAATAAATAAATAAAATCTTTAAAAAATAAAAAAATAAAAAAATAGAAAATATTGTCTTGAGTTATTATTAAAATTATTAGTATAACACAATCAAACAATATATTACAAATCTTGCCAAGTAATGATTAAACATAAAAGGTAAATTTTACTGGAGATGCAACTTTTAGGAAAATGGATGGAGCTTTAATTTCCCAAATAGCTTGTATTTCTTTGGATGATCTTTACTTTTTTTTTTTAAGATTTTATTTATTTATTTGACAGAGACAGAGACAGCAAGAGAGGGAACACAAGCAGCGGGAGTAGGAGAGGGAGAAGCAGGCTTCCCGCGGAGCAGGGAGCCCGATGTGGGGCTCGATCCCAGGACCCTGGGATCATGACCTGAGCTGAAGGCACACAACGACTAAGCCACCCAGGCGCCCTGATCTTTACTTATTTCTAAAATAAGACAGGAGGTAGCATGGATTCTCTTTCCATTTTTCTTTTGTTTATGATAAATGGAAAGGCTGAGAAAACTTTTTCACATAAATAGGTGTATGGGAATGAAATGGGATTTTCTTTGAATTCTTTAAGAATTGTCTGACGGTTTTGTGATCAGCAGAACATTTAATAATCTGTCAGCTGCTCCCCAGTCATTAGAGTCATCTGCTTTCTCAGCCGTGGCACCTGTGCTTCGGGTGGCCCCCCATTTGGCCAGAGGTTTTTATGTGACTGACCAGTGCCCTGGGGGTGCACCAATGCGCCAGATTCTGAATGAGAGCAGTGCACCTTTGGCTGGAGGGCAACTGTGAAAAGGTAAGTGGTACCCGCGAAACCGAACCCCCAGAATAGTCATGTTCTTCAGGCAAATGAATTGAGGGAAGAATGTATGTAGAAATTCGGAATCTGACAATCGAGTTCCTTGTCGCTCTCTGTGATAATACCACAGAGGTACCAGGGTGAAGACCACTGTCCAAAAAAACTCCTGCTTGGGCGCCTGGGTGGCTCAGTCGTTAAGCGTCTGCCTTCAGCTCAGGACATGATCCCAGGGTCCTGGGGTCGAGTCCCACATCGGGCTCCCCGCTCAGCGGGAAGCCTGCTTCTCCCTCTCCCACTCCCCCTGCTTGTGTTCCTGTTCTCGCTGTCTCTCTCTGTCAAATAAATAAATAAAATCTTTAAAAAAAAAACAAACAAAAACTCCTGCTTATGAGCATCACATCCAAGAATGTTCACAGCATCCCTGTTTGCCCTAACCCCAAACTAGAAATAAGGCAAATGTCTCCTGGCCGGAGAGAGCATAAATAGATTTTGATCTAGTCATGCGATAGAATTTAATACAGAAGTGAAAAACAAACCACAGTTCTACTTAACAGCAGAGATGATTCTCAGGAACAGGATATTGAGTAAAAGCGACAACAGGAACAGAAACGAATCCTGGAGGACTACATGCAAAATGAAACCACTTTTAGAAAGCTCAAAAACATGTACAATCGATAATATATTTTTAGGCATATATATAATTTTAAAAAAGATAACAAAATAGGGGTGCCTCGGTGGCTCGGTTGGGTAAGCGTCTGACTCTTGGTCTTAGCTCAGGTCTTGATCTCAGCGTGGTGAGTTCGAGCCCCGCGTTGCGCTCCACGCTGGGCATGGAGCCTACTTAAAAAAAAAAGACAACAAAATGATAAATAAAATTCAGGGTTGTGGTCACTTCTGAGAGGAGGAAACAGGCATCAGAAAGGGAAGCGTAGTCGCTCCCTCTGCGCCGCCCGCCGGAGCTGAGTAGGACGCAGTCCTCTGCTTGTGCATTTCGCAGGCGTGGCCTCGCCGCTCCCCTTTTTCTTCAGTGCCACTTACACTCACCGCTACGAGCACCAACATGAACAGGCAACTCAACGGCTTTCACGAGGCATTCATCGAGGAGGGCACGTTCCTCTTCACCTCAGAGTCTGTGGAGGAAGGCCACGCAGATAAGATCTGTGACCAGATCAGCGATGCTGTGCTTGATGCCCACCTTCAGCAGGACCCTGATGCCAAAGTGGCTTGTGAAACTGTTGCTAAAACTGGAATGATCCTTCTTGCTGGGGAAATTACGTCCAGAGCTGCTGTTGACTACCAGAAAGTGGTTCGTGAAACCATTAAACACATTGGATATGATGATTCTTCCAAAGGGTTGGACTACAAGACATGTAATGTGCTGGTAGCCTTGGAGCAACAGTCACCAGATATTGCTCAAGGTGTTAATCTTGACCGGAACGAGGAAGACATTGGTGCAGGGGACCAGGGTTTGATGTTTGGTTATGCCACTGATGAAACTGAGGAACGTATGCCTTTAACTATTGTCTTAGCACACAAGCTCAATGCAAAACCGGCCGAACTATGCCACGATGGCACTTTGCCTTGGTTATGCCCAGATTCTAAACCTCAAGTGACTGTGCAGTGCATGCAGGATCGAGGTGCTGTGCTTCCCATCAGAGTCCACACAATTGTTATATCTGTTCAGCACGATGAAGAGGTTTGTCTTGATGAGATGAGGGATGCCCTAAAGGAGAAAGTCATCAAAGCAGTTGTCCCTGCAAAATATCTTGATGAGGATACAATCTATTGTCTACAGCCAAGTGGCAGATTTGTTATTGGTGGGCCTCAGGGTGATGCTGGTTTGACTGGCCGGAGAATCATTGTGGACACTTGTGGCGGTTGGGGAGCTCATGGAGGAGGTGCCTTTTCAGGAAAAGCTTATACCAAGGTGGACAGTTCAGCGGCTTATGCTGCTCATTAGGTGGCAAAGTCCCTTGTTAAAGGAGGTCTGTGCAGAAGGGTTCTTGTTCAGGTCTCTTATGCTATTGGAGTTTCTCATCCATTGTCTATCTCCATTTTCTATTATGGCACCTCTCAGAAGAGTGAGAGAGAGCTATTAGAGATTGTGAAGAAGTATTTTGACCTCCGCCCTGGGGCCATTGTCAGGGATCTGGATCTGAAGAAGCCAATTTATCAGAGGACGGCAGCCTATGGCCACTTTGGTAGGGACAGCTTCCCATGGGAAGTGCCCCAAAAGCCTAAATATTGAAAGTGTTAGCCTTTTTTCCCCAGACTTGTTGGCGTAGGCTACAGAGAAGCCTTCAAGCTCTGAGGGAAAGGGCCCTTTTTCCTAAATTTTCCTGTCCTCTTTCGGCTCCTGATCAGTTGCAGTCACTCCTAGTTCAATGACATGAATTTTAGCTTGTGTGGGGGACTGTAAGTTGGGCTTGCTATTCTGTCCCTAGGTGTTTTGTTCACCATTATAATGAATTAAGTGAGCATAGGTGATCCATGTAACTGCCTAGAAACAAACCAACAACACTGTAGTAAATAATGCTTTTTGAAATTGAAAAAAAAAAGAGAAAGGGAAGCGTATTGTAGATGTAGCATATTCTGAGTGATGAGTTTATGGATGATAATTTCAGCATCATACGTCATAAGTATACATGGTACATACATGGTATATATACCATGCTTATGTGCATGGGACAGACATTTATCTTTAAATATAAATTAAAAATGAAAGAAAGGCAGAAGAATGAAGGTTACCTTATTTAACATTATTGAGGTTTATTTATTTGTAACTCAATAAAGTTCTCCTGAGCAAATTCCACGTGTAGGCATTGATGTAGATGCCAGAGATCTAGGGATGAGAGGAGGCAGACGTTTCCTGGAAGCTTGTATTTTGCCGGAAAGAGAGAGGAAGAGAAACTTTTTCTTCTGCAGGGTTCAGTGGTTTGAGAATGATTCAGGAGATCCGTTCTGAAGATGAAGCTCAGACACACACGGAACTGAGAGATACCGCAGTACCAGGTGCCATGGTTTAAACCTGTAAGCCAATTTGTACCTGACTTCACTCAAATTGCTGGACTTTTGTTCCTGTGACCCAGCAAGTTCCCCTGTGGCAGTGGTGTTCTTGAAGCAGGCTTGAGTTGGGTTTTCTGGCATCTGTAGCACAATGAATGCTAACAGACACAACCCTGGGGGGTTACTCATTGAGCGAATTGCGGGGGCAGGGTTGGCACCAGGAACTCTGAAGCTATTTGTTTATCAGTTTACTTTCTAATGGGCAGCGAGTTTCAACGTTTTCAAGGGCTTTCATATGCATTGTCTCTTCTGACTCTTAAATCTACCTTGTAGCAGAAAAGCAAGAGGTGAAGGGACTTGTATATAGCTGGATAGATAGTAGGGGTCCTTGGGACTTGAACACAGACCTCTGGGCTCCAGGTCCTGTGTGTTTTCTGTTAGAACATGGGGGATAAAACAGTCAAGTTAACTGACATAAAATTTCCACAGGATTGGTCAGTTTGCACGAGCATCTCACTGAGATAGTGTTAGGGGGATGCTTGCCATCGTTCTATTTTATTTCATTTATTTTTAATTATTATTAGTTTTTTAGTAATCTCTACACCTAACATGGGGCTTGAACCCACAATCCTGAGACAAGAGTCAAATGCTCTACTGAATGACCCAGACAGGTAGCCCTGTAATCACTTTATTTTATTTTATTTTTTTAAAATTTTATTTATTTATTTGACAGAGAGAGACAGCTAAAGCAGGAACACAAGCAGGGGGAGTGGGAGAGGGAGAAGCAGACTCCCTGCTGAGTGGGAGCCTGATGTGGGACTCGATCCCAGGACCCTCGGATCATGACCTGAGCCGAAGGCAGACGCTTAACGACTGAGCCACCCAGGCGCCCCAATAATCACTTTATTTTAAATGATGAACTCTTCCAGGTGTAGAGAAAGCATAGAGAATAAGCAAATAAATACAGGAAACAGATCCTCCCATTCAGCCTTCAGAAAGGAACCCAGCCCTGCTGACACCTTGATTTTAGACTAGCGAGTCCCATTTCAGATTTCTTATCTCCAAAAATGTAAGATAATAAATTTGTGTTATTTTAAGCCATTCAGTCTTTGGTAATTTTTTATAGCAGGCATAGAAAACGAATCTAAGATTTATATATAGGCTTCAGTCATTCATTTTAACTGCAATGTGCAATTGCACTGCATGTGCTCTTTGAGTATTGCTTTTCAAAATTATATTTGAGAGATTCAGTCGTGTTTTTCCATGCACCTGTAGTTTGTAGTTTCTCTCTTTTCTTTTTTTTTTTTTTTTGAGAAAGAGTGCGAGCAGGGGTGGGGAGTTGAGGGTGGGTACAGGGCAAGAGAGACAGAGAGAGAGAGGAGAATCTTAAGCAGGCTCTACATCTAGGGTGGAGCCTGACTCGGGGCTCAATCTCATGACCCCGAGATCATGACCTGAGCTGAAATCAAGAGTCAGAGCCACCCAGGCACCCCCATAGTTTCTTTAGTTTCCTATTGAATGACTATCCCATGTGTTTTAGTTTACTATTCATCTGTTGATGAACATTCATGTCGTTTCCATTTTTTATGCTGTAATAAACAATGTTGCTGTGAATATTTTTGTATTTGTTTCCTTGTGCACATGTGCCAGAGTTTCTCATAGGGTGGTGGGTTGACAACCCACTGGGATAATGAGTCTAACGTGCAAGCCGGGTTTTCAACTTAATGGGAGTGGAATTGGTGGATTGCAGGGTGTATGCATCATTAACTTTATTATATGTGCTAAATTGCTCTCCAATGTGGCTATGCCAATTTAAACTCCCCCAGCAGTGCATGAAGGTGCCCATTTTCCTACACATTCAAATGTGACTTTTAAATTTCCGCCAATATGATGAGTCTAAAATGGTATCTCCTTTTCATTTCAATTTGCATTTCCCTGATTACTAGCAAGGATGAATATGTTTACACATGTTTATTGGCCGCTTGTCTCTCCTCTTCCTTGAATTGTCCAGATAACGTGAAACAAGTTAGGACCCAGACTCCACTGGCATGGGACATGCCACATGTGAAAATATAACTGGACCCCTACAGGCCCCGATGGTTCTTTAAGGAGGATTTATCGATTCAAGGAACTTCAAATGAAATGTACACGAGGAACTAATGAGTGTATCACATTTAATAAAATAGAAGTAATCGCATTTGTTTTTTTCCACCAAGAAGATTTAAAAACTATCAAGGTTTTGAGAAACTTGAACACTGCTCTTTTCACAAAAATGTCCTACTTTTATATTTCTGATTGTGCACACTTCAATGACACAACCCCATTTATCATTAAACACTGACCACATTCTGGATTCTAAGCGGTTCATGCGAAAAGGATGAAAGCGAACAGGAAGAATATCATCTGGATTCCGAGGTTGTGAAGGAAGGGGACCTGACAGAGGATCAAGCCTGCCCAGGGTTGCTGGGCGTTCTGTTCAGTCCTCCCAAAGTGGCAGTGTGGGAGACACTAGCTCACTCCCAAAGCTTATCCAGCCAAATGCCCATAGCTCGCTTGCCCCAATTCCGGACTTTTCTGGGGCTGCTCAGTCGGAAAATAATCAGAAGCAAAAGTTAGAAAAACCATATGCCATTTGTGGTTTCATATCTCCCTCTTCTGGACAAAGAAGAACTTGCACCATGGAAGTCTGCTTTCCATTGCATATTACAACTAAAATAGTACTTTTGTTTTTACTTTGTTACCAAGGCTTACCAAAATATGTATATTAAGACTCAAAATGCATGTATTTTATCTATCTCTCCATCATCTATCTGTGTATCACCTATCATCTATCATCTAATTTATGTGTCCCAGGTGGATATCGGCAAGTAGGTGGTAGCTTGCCTTGCTTTCTTTCTTCCTTTTCTCCTAAGTCTTTGTGGTATGGAAAGCCCCTTAATAAAGTATTTTAAAATGTTACCAATTGGTAATTAGCCCTTCACTTGATGTCTTTCCTCATATTCTGTTATGTACTTTTCGATCCTAATATTTATCTAGTTCTTCGATGTGGCCCCCCACCTCCCCACCTGCCGGGGAGGTGAAATTGACTCAGCACAAATCACAGACTTTACGAAACCTGCCCATGTTTCTTTCCTTTCCTTCCCATTCCTCCCTCCCTTCCTATCTATCCTCCTTTCTTTCTTTCTTTTTTTTTTTTTTTTTTGGATCTTCTCTAACTGCTTGAATGAATTTTACAATAATGTAAGAAATATTGGGGAACTAAATATGGGGAAGAGCATAGTCATACATAATATATTCAGAGGGTTTCTCTATTGCTTTGATTACTCATTAAATTGAGCCAAGGTTCTGTTGGATTTACTTTTTATTTATTTGTTTATTCATATGGAAATACATGCATGTGGTCTAAAATTCATGTGATACCAAAATGTATACATGGAAGTCTCTTTCATTCAACAGCTTCCTTCCTGAGAGCAATCTCTAGTGTCAGTTCCTTAACACATGTATTTTATTTTTTAAATTTTATTTTAAATTCCATTAACATAAAGTGCATTATTAGTTTCAGAGGTAGAGTTCAGTGATTCATCAGTTGTATATAACACCCAGTGCTCATTACATCAAGCGCCCTATTTAATGCCCATAACCCAGTGACCCCATCCCTCCACCCACCTCCCTTCTAGCATCCCTCAATTTGTTTCCTATGGTTAAGAGTCTCTTATGGTGGGGCACCTGGGTGGCTCAGTTGGTTAAGCAACTGCCTTCAGCTCAGGTCATGATCTTGGAGTCCCAGGATCGAGTCCCACATCGGGCTCCCTGCTCAGCGGGGAGTCTGCTGGAGAACTCTGACCCTCTTTCCTCTCGTGCTCTCTGTCTCTCATTCTCTCTCTCTCAAATAAATAAATAAAATCTTAAAAAAAATAAAAAGCTAAATCCTGTGCACATGATGAACAAAATGCAGAGGAAGTTCAGGTGGTGAGATATGTTCCTCATTTAACAGAGGAAAAAAAGCATATGCTCTCAAATACCCTTCTGGCATTTTCCATTAATCCTTTTTACTCATACTTTGAGTAGTTCTCCAAGTGGGTAGGTCCCCAACATCAGTATCTCCTGGGAACCTGTTAGAAATGCAGATTATCAGCCCTGCCCCAGATTAACTGAATCAGAAACTCTGGGAGGGGACCCAACATTCTGTGGTTTCTCAAGCTCTTCAGGTGTGTCTGATATTTGCTAGAGTTTGAGAACTCTGGTAAATGAAAAGAGTCTCAAAGGTGGGGTAGTTTAAAAATTTCCTCAGGTCATCCTCATGGGTGGCTAGCATTAAGAATCTGGGCTGGCCTAACTGAAATTTTTCTCTAATCCTAACCCATCTCAAGCTTTTCCCATTCCCTGAGTTTTCATGCTGGGTGCCCTGCCTTTACTCCCAATTTACAGATAAGAGAGCTGAGATTCAAAGAGATTGAGTTACTTGTTCCAGAAAAGTAACTGGATTTTGGCAGAGCTAGGTCTCAAAACCAGTGTCCTTGGAATCCCTCATCATTGCATTTTCTGTTTTGCACACTGCCGCTTCCCCCACTACCATTTATTTCTTTTGCTCATTTTCTATCAGTTTGTTTGCTTTTTAAATCAGTTATTCAGGGGCGCCTGGGGGGCTCAGTTGGTCGAGCGTCTTTGGCTCAGGTCATGATTCTTGGATCCTGGAATCAAGCCCTGGGTTGGGTTCCCTGATCTGCAGGGAGTCTGCTTCTCCCTCCCTCTGCCCCTCCCCTCGCTCATGCTCTCTCTCAAATAAATAAATAGAATCTTTAAAAAAAATCAGTTATTACTATGTTCTGAATTCTAATATTTTGTGTTACTTTCACTCTATATATCTTCTGTTTGTTGAGGATCTATTTTTTTATCTACTCATTTATTGTTATATTTAAAAAATTCTAGTATAGTTAACATACAGTGTTATGTTGACGATCTTTTCGACTCTCCTTATGATATCTTTTGATACTGTTAAGCTTATCAACTACTTTCCCTTGTGGCTTCTGCTTACTGTACCTTTTAAAAGAAATACTTTCCTATCTCAAAGTTATAAAGTTATTTTTCATATATATATTTTAAAAGAGTTTGTAGTTTATAATTTTGCTTTTCATACTTTCTTTTTTTAAGATTTTATTTTTAAGTAATCTGTACACCCAACATGGGGCTCAAACTTAGAACTATGAGGTCATGCTCCACCGACTGAGCCAGCCAGGTGCCCCACTTTTCATACTTTTATATTTGATCCACCTGGAATTTATTTTTGGGTGTGCTGTGAGGCATGGTTTAATTTCATTTTTCCCATGTGGATAGTCATCCCAGAACCACTTACTGAAAAGTACATTGCTTCTAATGATCCTCAACGTTCCTGTCATATAACTTTCTATACCTTTTACTTCTTAACTGATTCACGTCTTCTTGGCTATTCCTGACCCTTTGCTATTTTGTTTTATTTATTTATTTTTATTTTAAAGGAAATAAAGGAAGAGAAATCCTCAAGCAGACTGCCTGCTGAGCATGAGCCCTGATGGGACTCGATCCCAGGACCCTGAGATCACAACCTGTGCCAAAATCAG